TTGACCAAAGTACAAAGAGCTGCGATTTATATCACATCGATCCATTCATTTTAATTCAAAATTACGCTGGCATTAGATAGAAGTATGGAAACTCTAATTCACCGATTGAGGCAAGGCACCGCATACACAAAACATTTTTTGCACAGAATCGGCAGAGCTGAAACTCCCGAATGCGAATGTGGATTTGTAGATGAAGACGTATGTCAACTTCTCATAGACTGTTCACATCATGACACACCGAGACGCCGTCTTAAGTCCGAACTGTTCGCGTTGGACCGCAGAACATTTGGCATGAAAAAACTTCTGGGCCCGTGGCCAACTGGAGTTTTACAGTCCCACGCTTTAAAAGCATTGACACTTTTTTTACAGGACAGCGGGATTGCTGACAAGTATTAACAAAGAACAAACTTTCATTTGTAACACATGTACTTATTATGTGCAGAGTCATGTGACACCCATCACGTCTGTGTTGTGAAATGAATGACGTGTCGACTATTATGTACATACGAGCGAATGCATCTTTATAAGGACCAGACTTGTGCTCTGTTGTTTTGTGCTGGTGGACCAAATATTAACGAGGGACATTTCCAGAGACTTCTTACATTGACTTTCGAACATTTACTTACCATTATGTTGTGATGTGTGCGTATAAGTATGTCTTTGCATATCTGTGCCCGAGTTTTCTATTTTCCATGCACTGCTTTGTATGTTTTGCTTCAGGATACGTGTTCGGGTTTCAATCAACGGCTAAGGAGTAGCCGGCGCCATAATGGTGCGCCAACATCTCCTTATATATCATATCAATAAAAAAAGAGGTATAGCTGGGCATACTGCAATTATGTGGTACGTGTCGGCCAGCACCCCACAGTGCGCACAGTAGCCGTGTATACCCGGCATGAAATGCTGGGCGGCTGCAGGACACAAGAAGGTGTTCGTCTGCAAGCGTCTCAGACGTCGCTCGTCCGCTTCAGAGAGACCCCGTGCAGGTTCTGGGTAAAGACGGCGCGAGTTTCGATAGTAATCAAGGATTTCGCGGTACTGCGTAAGAGCTGAGGCACCTGGGGGAGACGCGGGGTCGAAAGAGGTAACGCCCCGGGAGAGAAAATCGCAGGCAGCGGCATGAGCCGCTTCGTTACCGGGGAGACCCGCGTGGCCAGGAGACCATACTATGCGGATGGGGTGAGATTCAAAGCGCCGTGAGGCCGCCTGTGGAGAAGGTCGGCGGCCAGAGGAGCTATGGTACCTTGCAGGTATCGGGAACAGGCGATGCGCGAGTCCGTGATGATCACTCTTGCTGAGCGGTGAGAGGCTGCCAAAGCGATGGCTACCTCTTCAGCCCGAGTTGCACCCGGGGAGCGGAAAGAGATGCCGTCGACGTGGTGACCCTGGCATATCACTGCGGCCGTAAAGTGTCACGAGGAGGTTGGGCCTGGGACATCTACGTAGAAGACACCAGGAGTGTTGGAGTATTGAGTATGGAGAAGTTGTGTTCGGGCTAAGCATCTGCCTGTATTTTGACTGGGATAACATCTACACATGGTTCCCTTTAGCGGGAGTTGGTGTAATTTTTTACAGAAAGTGTTAAAGTCAGCGCCCGCGCATGACGCATAGCCGCCTATCCTTTCGTTTCTTACGCTCTCTTACACGTTCACCGTGCCCCGATTAGAGGATCTGTAGAGACGCGTATTCACGATATGGCTTTTTTTAAAGACGATAGTCTTTCTTGGGGACCTTCGACGCAAAATAATTTGGTCTGTCTGTCTGTCTGTCTGTCTGTCTGTCTGTCTGTCTGTCTGTCTGTCTGTAAATTTGTCTGTTAGTGCACTCTTAATGGCACTGGGTACTTGAAATGGCCGACCCCCTCCGCAGCGCCCACCAATGTTGCTCAAGGTTTACCGTTCATACTTGTGCATTTATCAATTATTAAGCAATTATTGCACAAGTCTGGGGCAGCATAACAACACGTAAATATACTATGTGCATTTTTTACTAGAAAGTGCATACACAAGTAATTTTAAGGACCGTAGCGCTTATCACGCTGTGCTAACCATGCAATGCTTGCACGAAAATGTGAGTGCTTCCAACGCTTTGCTAAGACGCGATGGTGGTGGCACCTACCCGTCGCCTTGCGTTCCTCACCTTATCACCTCTGAGACTGGCGCGCACACCCGTCTCAGAGCCACGCGCTTCGTTTTGCAAGAAGACTGCCAGGTTGTGCTCATGTCTCACGTGTGACGTGTCTTGGTGTACTCGTTCGCCTCCGCTGTACGCTCGAGGCACTCTAAAGCTGCGTTCACACTGAGCATTCCGGCCGCCGAAAGTGCTCCGAATCCGGTACGGCGGCGGCGAGTTCCGCCGAAAGGGCCCTCTCCGCGCCGATCGCTCTCGGACCAATTTTTGCGGCGTCCGCCGCCGAATCGCTCACCGTGGACCAATAGGAGCGCTAGTCAAGGAATTTTGAAAAATGGAGGCCAAACCCTACTCACTTGTTATGCTGCAGTGCACGTAACTGAATGTTGAAACCAACGGGAGTTTAACCTACTCTGTGCCTACTTCGCGTCCGTATTTTGTGGAAGAGATGGCCGAGCTTGCTGTTGGCGTGACCGAGCTTGTTGTGGTCTTGCAGAACAAAACAAACCCACCAACGCCGCTGGCGTTGGTGGTTTTCCTGCTCTTCGTGCATTACAAGACAGCCACTTGCCAGCAAAGTAAGCAGTACTGTCTTTTCTTGCTTCTTGCGTACGAGAATAATCGAAGTATACACCACCGGATAGCGTAGTAGCGTTTGCGAACCTCGACAACAACCGGGTGACAGCGCATCCATCCCGCGTTCTCCCCGTAGTAGATGGCATATTCGGCGGCGCGGGGCGCGTCCAGTGCGAACGACGCTGCGTTTCGGCGGCAGGGGAATTTCGGTCGCTGTAGAAAGCGGATGTTTCAGTGTGAACTAGGCATAACGCAGCGCCTCCTAAATACCATTCACCGATTTTCTTGCACAGAACATCAAATTAATTGTTCACTCTCTCCACACGCAACACCATCGTCTTTCGACGACATTTGCAGAATACATGCAGATACGGGGCCATTTTTTTTCTTTTTCACTTATGTATATAATTTGTTCCCGTATTTTTGTATCCTGTCACTGCCGTATTGAACTTGCACCTTTGTGCGATACATCGCCCCTCCCCCTTTACAAACAGCTGGCTTTCTGGAAACCAAGAGCTCCATCATACGCACACACCAGTGGGGGGGCTTTGTTCTATATTATTCTACGTGGCTTTGTGTTAATTTACATTTTTTCTCAAGTGTGATGTAAGACTCGACGTCAGCGCGATCTCAAAATGACGACCCTTTGGAAACGGGGATACCTTGTAAAGGCTTGGCGTTCAGTTAGATCGAATTTCGAGGCCTAACCACACTTTCTTATTATCATCACGAAATGCGCCATAAGTATAGTTTTATGTTGCTTGGTACGTTAACACTCACACTTCTTTTTAAAAAGAGACTTTTTCAGCATAGAATGCCTCACCTTTTTGCCCACAACGTGCCATCCTTCTATACTTTATACATTCTCGGTATCTACACTGTAACAAAAATTAGTGCATTCCCAGTGTCAAGAACAACACCAGAACACTGGCTAACAATTGGACACTGATTAATGACTAATACATTAAGATAAGAAAATTGGAATTACAGCCCTCCTTAGAATGAATGAATGAACTTTATTAAAAGTTCGGCAGTTTGCTCCGGGTGACGCAGGGAGGAGAGGGAACTGGACCATGTCCCCTTCTACGCTCAGTCCATGAGCCGCTTTTTTTTCTTTAAGGAAGTCACCTGTCACCTGGGTCGCTATAATGACTGCGGGTGTAGCGAGGACACACGGCAAGAAAGAGCAAGCCATGAGGAAAACAAACTGTTGTGGTAACAGCAACACTTATTTGTATTTAGGGCGAATCGCTAACGCAAAAACAGACTTTTCCGTTATGCAACAGACCCCAGAAGTGGCGCAATTAACGCATGCTCGTAGCACTGAAGAAAAATGCGTCACCACAACAGATACTGGATTCGCAAATAACGTGACAACGTCAGTATAGGTTTACAGAAGGATATTGACACAACAGTCTACCAACAGCGCTTCGTGGCCACAGACGACAAGGTAACAACATTACGTCATGTCTAAATATACGACAAGACATCATAACTCTCCACCTTCCATTGGGGTGGTATTTTTCAACTGCGCTTTCTCACTGGTTGCCGTAACTGCAAACAGCACTGCTTTCAATACCGATGCCTAAAGGATGTCTGCAAACCTTTTCTAAGCAACCATCAGATGGCTTCAATAAAGGAGGGAATAGTCAGGCGAATCGACTGCTGCAAAAGCTTTTGGAAGCCGCCAAGAAAGAGCGGAGTTACACGGAATTGTTGCACGATTTAATCGTTTTGTACTATAGCATGTACAAAACGCTGAAAGCTTCGCGAGCATGGCAGGTGGGGGGGGGGGGGTAATGACACGGCAGCTAAAAGCTGCGTCACTTCGTAACAGCACGTCACGACCTTGAGCCATTTCTTTTCTTTTGGTTCTTCTACCACGCGGATTACTTTAGGTACAACCGCAAATGAGCGCGCGGGCACGTAGTGACATCTCGCGGCGACCGCCGGAACTATGCGGCTCACGATACTCAAGTCATCCAAAGGCGGTAGAGAAGTGTTTGCGGCGCGTGGTCATCTCGGTTTATGACGTCACTTTTCGATAGAAAAAGGAGCTATTTCTAGCTGACTTTGAGGATTCGCGGTAAATTGTGGGCCACTTGCATCGCGGGGACGTTTGGCTGGCGTTTTCGCATGAGCCACGAGGACTGATCGGCAGTGTTATCTGACCATGCTGAAAAATTGTTGGAAGGCCAACGTTAAAGCGACGCCGAGCCACACTTCCGACTGGGAGGCCAAAAGGGTTTCGCAGACGTGTTTGATGTTTCAAGCAAAAAGCGTAGGTAACTCACCAGTAGCTGAGGCAGAGGGCGATCGCCACCAGGGACAAGGTTATGACGCCGAAGAGGGGCACGTAGCGATTGAAGAAATGGTGATGCCAGTCATCTGCGCAAAGTGTGCCACTGAGTCCACGTCTCTTTCGTATTCCATCGCTGCACTCGCACAACACATGCGACACGATGTGAACACGAGACAACCACCATGTTATTGTGATATAGCTTAGCGGTGTGATGCTGCGCCGCACTTTACGAAGGCGTGGCTTAGATTATCAGCAGTGGCGACAGCATTTAGACGAAGGCGAAATGCAGAAGTGATCATCTGCTTAGACTTCGATACACGTTCAAAATGGATGTAGTTTCCCACTTCGGCACTGCCTCCTAATTGCATTTTCATTTTCGCGCGTAAGAGCCTAGAATGGAATGCGTTAAGTGTAGCAGATTAGTTGCGCAGCACTTGCCTGTACAGTGCTCTAGGATTGAAATGGACAATTAAGGGCTAAGTAATGCCGATACTCTAATTTCTCTCTTCTTCAGATGGGATTCATTTTGGCGTAATTTCGAATCGAAGGCATCTAAGATCCAACAATAAATTTAAAAAACAGCATATCCGCGGAGTGAATGATGATAAGGTGGGCGATACGTCCGTTGGTTCATCCACCAATCTGCCTTCCTGCCTGCCTGCCTGCCCGCCCGCCCGCCCGCCTGCCTGTCTGTCTGTCTGTCTGTCTGTCTGTCTGTCTGTCTGTCTGTCTGTCTGTCTGTCTGTCTGTGACGAACGGACGGACGTTTCGCCGCACTCATCATTATTTACTCCGTGGATATGCTGTGCGTTTTTATACGTAAACCACTAATGCCATCTACAGTGATACTTCCTACTTCCAAGGACATATTCAAAACGCCATTCAGTGAGCAATTCTTAAACCAACTAGAAGCGGATACTACTACCAGGGGGCGGAAACTAGCTGTAGCTATCATGAATTCGCTCTCAAGCACAAGCCCAATCCCACACTTCGCCCACAAAGCCTGTCAGGAACGCTCAGCGCAAAATGAACCTCATTGTTCGAGAAGGTTCGCTATCATTTTAGATCGTTGTGTCAAGATTGCGCGCAAGACGCGAACACTCAAGATTATTCTAGAGCTTGCACTACGACCTGTGATATGGCTAGAATATTCGACGGCACATGTATAAATGCCGACGCGCTTCGCCGCTTGTCAGTTGATCGACGGCCGACGTTCTGTTTGCCGCTATCAATGCCATAGTGTATTGCTGTAATCGGACTTTCCATTTACCGGCCTCAAGTTCAGCCTAATAAACAGTTTGATCACGGAGCTGCAGTCTGCTGCCTTCGACGGCGTGACAATATGGTGGTCATAGGACGTAAAACCCAAAATTTTATTATTATTATTATTATTATTATTATTATTATTATTATTATTATTATTATTATTATTATTATTATTATTATTATTATTATTATTATTATGTTGTTGTTGTTGTTGTTGTTGTTGTTGTTGTTGTTGTTGTTGTTGTTGTTGTTGTTCATGCACTGTGCCAACGATCATTCCTGATTGAACCTGCCTAAACGGCCTCCCTTTACCAGGCTAGAAATTTAGTGCGGCAACAGACCAGAAGTAAAATCTAGGAGCGAAAAAAAGACCGGAATTGGAAAACGGAATTCCATTGAACTGCCGTGCATAGAAAAAGGATGCATGTAAAAGAAAAAACTAGACGAGAAAACTGGAAGCTAGTTGGACAAGAGTTCTATATTTGGATTAATTGTGGCTTGTTGTTCACATTAATTGTTCGCTACTGTGAGCAGTTTAAGTGCTGTTAGAGTTGTAACTTTCGTGTTGATGTAATAATTCATTTGCTCTACAATTCACAAAAAAACTATCTCCAGCTTATGAAAATGTGTTACTTTGTGCTAGGCTACGATCACGTTTCCCATCGATGAATCTAAATTTAGAGGTATCAAAACAGCGCCAAACATATCATACACTCGGTAATAGAGGGTGGAGATATATTGAGCACTGAAGCTAAAAAAACTAGCGTTCTACGTCACTTCCATCGGGGACAAATGTCCGCATATTCTCGGTCGGCCCATGCATAAAACATACTGACCGGGCCGCTGACGTCATGAAAATGCATGGACTTAAAGCGCATGGCTCAGCGGTATTATGCGGGGACGCTGGGACGTACATGCCCGAACACTTTGGTGAATAAATTTTTACCTACTCTTCCTCTTTTTAGCTTTAAAAAGCGCACCCATTCATTTAAAATAGCACACAAAATGTAAGAACACAAGGACAGCATGCCATGTCAACTGAGGAGGTCTCACACGAGCAACGAAAAAAAGTATGATCGTATCTGGTTCGCTAAGACAATGCCAGTAATGAAGAAAGAAACGTCACATCTCCAGCTGCAGCTTTAAATTGTAGCGCTAGTTTGAAGGGCTAAGGTCCATACTACACCACGCTGCGCATCACTTTGAGGTGTATGTTGCGGTGTAAGATTGATTAAATAATAAATTACAAGGTATGAATTCTAACACTACTTAATCTGCTTAAATATAACATGCTGGACAAAAAAGGTTGCTATTTTTCATAATTTCATCGTTCAAGTGGGGAATGGATCGCCTGCGAAACCAAACCAAGGTTATCTGAGTCATTATTCCCTGTAAAAGGTCACCGTACACAAATGTATTTGTTACGGTAGGCTGCATGAACTTCTGCACGCCTCCTTATTGTATATGGACTCCACAACCTAGAATAATTAATTCAGTAGTCGAAACAATTGAGGGTCATTCGATCCGTTTGTTCCAAGGCTTCTGAATACGTCCAGTTTTGGTAGGAGCATGTACACGTAAGCTCTGGTTTGTTTTTGCTCATTTCTTTCTTCGAACTGCTAGTCCACAAGAAGGTCATCCCAGGAGTGGCAGCAGAGAATATAAAACCTCGTATACGTTCCACGTCGTTCGCAGACAGATTAGGGTAAAAACAAAAGGATGCACATAGCTGTAGGTAAAACGGCACATACGTTTCTTTTTTTCTATGAGGCAGCAGACTTCCCAGCACCAACAAGTATAGCTAACATTCATACTTAGGACAACGCAGCAATGATTGATTAACGGTACACACCAGCAAATTCCCTGTCTTCTAAGTCAATTGAAAATGATTGAACTTTGACCAGCTGTCAATATTACATCTCAATACTTATATTGTCACGGGGTCGTGACGTCTACGAAGAAGCAGAGAGTACGTTGAAGATTAAACTGTTTATTTGGGCGAACCTGTGCCCGGTAAACGGAAAGTCGGATCACAGTAGCAGGCTTGCACCGATAGCGGCGAATGGAGCGTCAGCCTTCAATCAACTACTCACAAGCGGCGAAGTGCGCCGACATTTATACTCTTGCCATCGAATGTTCTAGCGTTATCGCTGGCGGTGGCGTAGGTTCCAAAATAATCTGCACAGTTCACGGAGTGGGCGTGATCTTATCGAAATGATCTACTACAGTCCGAAAGCTTCTCGAAAACTGCAGGCGTGGTTTGCGCTGAAAATTATGTAGTGTATTGGGGCGATAACAAAACTTCAGTAATGGGACGTGGCAATGCTTATGTCGAAAAAAGTGCGAACAACGTTTAATTGAAGCAAAAAAAAAAACACAGCTTACTTACGCTTACTCGTATAGTGCTCGCCCAGCATGTAAGTCCTGAAGGACGCCCAGAATCCCGGCTCCCTCTCTTGGTCGACCATGGCACCGGAAGTGACCACAACCATATCGCGCGACGATAAGCCGTCTTCGCCGCGCACAACCACTTCCGTCTGTCGCCCAAGCACAGCCAGCAGAGCGGCGATCAGGCACAACACGTAACGAGCCGCCGACGTCGCCGGAAACATGGCTGCTTCGTCAAAACAAAACAGACGTCCCTGATGAACTTGACGTCACCGCCGTCAGTCAGGCCGTCGTCTGCCAGAATACGCTTGAGGAATCGTCTGCATGTCGTCTTGCTCGCACTAGAGAGCTTTGTAATAGGGTACGCAAAGCACTGCGTCAGCGTTCGCCATCACAGCGCATGCGTCGTACGGTATATAGCCTCGCGGGCACCCGCGTCAAGTGACGAAACGCGCCCGCAACAAACGCTATCTTTGCGCGTCCTATTCTAAAACTGCTATACGAGCGACGCAAGCACACTCTGCACGTAGAAACACAGAGGTCAGCACACGAACCACGCTAGCTTGGCCGCAGAGACGATACAACCAGCAGGCCTTGCGCACGACTGTGAAGAGCAGACGCAGCCGACTGAAAAAAAAAGCTGCGCCGCTTGTCAGATGGCCGACGCGTGCGGGTGGGAAAGACGGTTTGCGAAACGAGCAGCCGACGTAGGAGAGGATACCGAGCGCAGTCGAGCTATACTGGCGTTGGGCCCCGGGTTGTCACGCAGGGCTCACGGCGGCAGCTGTTCCAAGTGTAAAGGGTTACTCGGAGGACTCTGCACGAAGGTAAGGGCGTATGCGAAACGCATCCGTCTTAGGCCACCTGCAAACGCATTGTGTCGCCGCACTGGCCAGTGGCGAACGTAAACCGCTAGCTCACTGCATCATCCTCGCGGTAACCTATTGTCTATCGGAAAAACGGAGACGCTAGCCCCGACCTTCCTGACGCTTAATGTGTGTTTAGAGGGCTAGCGGCGAGATAGTTTCTTCGGCGAAATCAGCCGTAAGGATCTCACGGGGAGCAGGAAACTTATAGGTCGTGCGTTTGATACCCGCCTGTCGCATTTTGACTGCCTCTAAACGTGCGTGTTAGTTCAATAAGGCGTACGAAATAAATACTGAATATCGTCCTTTTTTTTTTTTTGAGATTTAAAGACCACAAGTGAACAAAAGCTGCGATGGCTTGTCTGCCGTCAAACTTTACGTCAAAATACTTTGCGTGTTCAAGGTTACTACATACTAAAACGTATGTAAAATACCACACAACATGCGACCGTCCACGCATGCAGCGTACAAAGTGAACCTAATTGGTGGCAATGCAAATTTCGCCAAGCATAAGATACCCTCGGCGCATAGAGGATCAGGAGCTTGGCTGCTGATCTGAAGGTCGCGGGTTCCACCCCGGCCGGGGCGGTCGCATTTCGATGGAGGCGGTATGGAAAAGGCCCTCGTACTGTGCGATTTCAGTACACGTTAAAGAACATGAGATGGTCGAAATCACTGGAGCCCTCCTCTTAGGATATGCCTTGGTTTACCCCGCTGCGCATCGACAGCTGAAACAATTGCCATTGCACAGGACTACTCGATCATGACGCACATCACCATTGAAACGATGCGTACGTACCTCAGGCAACATGCTAGGAATCCTTCCCACCACTTGACAACCCTCACTACTGAGAGGCCCCGCACAAAATTTAGTGCAATTGTCTGTGCTCATCGTGCGTCGTTTACGTCAGGTTTTACGCCTGCTGAGAAACTGGTGTATCCTCCGTGGTGCCTGACACTTCCACAAGTACGTGTTTCAATTCCAGGAATACAGAAAAAATCAAATTTGCCTTCATCAGCCCTAAAACAATTGAGCTTGAGCCATCTGCACGAAATGTACAACAACCACGTGCACATATACACCGATGGTTCAACCACAGCGTCTGGTTCTGGTGGTGCGGTGGTGATTCCAGCTAGAGGAATCACTCTGCGAATCAAACTGTCACATGTCACTACGTCCACAGTGGCAGAACTTGCGGCTTTGCGTGGCGCCCTAGAGTACATCAAATCCCAAAGACCGAGTAAATGGGCTGTGTTTTCCGACTCAAAATCAGCCCTACAGAGCATGCAGTCAGTTCTTCGATGAGTTTGCCATGAACAATTAACTTACGAAGTTGTCAAGCTTGTTCACCACGTCACAGAAACAGGCCACGAGGTCAAGTTTCAGTGGCTTCCTGGCCATTGTGGGATCAGTGGCAATGATTCCGCAGACAACGCGGCTCGCACATCGCACCAAGAAGAACACACCCTTCCGATTCCTTTGTCAAGGACTGACGCTGCAAAGCAACTTCGTCACCTGGCACGTAGTCTGAGTCTGCAGGAGTGGAACACCCCAAGCATAAGACATACGAGACTATACCAAATAAACCCTCGACTGGAACTTCGACCTCCATCCGGACTTCGTCGACGTGAAGCTTCACTTCTTTGTCGCCTTTGGTTGGGGGTTGCCTTCACAAAAGCATATAGAACCCTCATCGGATTGACCGACAATGCGGAATGCGACGTCTGCTGCGCCAAAGAAGACATCGACCATCTGATATGCCATTGCCCTCGATTTGCCTCTGAAAGACAGAAGCTTTCGGACGCATTGCGACAATTGGACGATCGGCCACTCTCTGTGCAGATGCTACTGGAACACCGTCATCGCCTTTCGTCAGCTCAAAAATCAGTCAAAGCTGTCTTGTGGTTTTTGAGGACTACAGGCCTATGTGACCACCTTTAACTTTTGTGTAGTGCCCCCGCTGCATACGCGCCAGCCGATTGACTGACAATCCTCCTTTTTTTTCTCTCTCTCTTTCTCTTCTCTTTCCCCTCTCTCTCATCTTTATGCCCCCTTCCTATTCCCCCAGCGTAGGGTAGCAAACCGGGCATGTTTCTGGTTAACCTCTCTGCCTTCCCTCTTGTTGTTTATCCCCCCCCCCCTCCTCTATGACGTCTTTCATAATTATATGGTTTTGGCCTGTGAAACCCCAAGCATTGTTATTAAAGATGAGTCGCCCGATCAATCTACCTGTAGTGGTGTCTCGACGTGATCAACTTGCCATAATATTAATTGCTGGGATTAAACGTCCCAAAAACCGCGATATGCTTATGATAGACGCCGTAGAGGAGTGACCCGAAAATTTCGACCACTTAGGGTTGTTTAACGTGCACTTATATCTAGTATACCTAAACGGGCCTTAAACGTTTTCTCATTCACTGAATACGCGGCAGCCGCGGCCGGAATACGATCCCACAATCTGCGGGTCAGCAATGGAGCGTCATAACCACTTGACCAACGTGGACGGTCGGTTAACATGCTAGTTATCTTCACAGCATCTGTACACCAACCATTTGGCTGTCAATGTAGCCAGAAAAAGGTCGCGTATTCGTTCTATCTTGCAATTTACACAGAACATGATTAGGAGTCTCTTAATTATGTCAAGCTCCCTGTCGGCAGCTTCATCAACTTGCTTATCTGCGTTAAGGTATCTAGTGGTACCTTTGTGACGTGGTTGATTAAGAAATGCACGTCGCAAAACTTTCAACACACTGGAAGCGACCATGGTCGAAATCCTAAAATCAATCATCGCGAGTGATGTTACAGTTGGCATTGCACGTACGTGTATCTGAAATCCTACTTATTCTTAACAAAGGCAACACCAAAGAGCCCATGTATTTTCTTTTTATTCCGATGCCCTATTTTTTCTCGCACGTGCGAATCCTATCTGATGCCTGCCAAGTACAAAATAAACGCATAAGGACCCGATCGCGAGACATATCTTGCGCGCGTGCGGAGAAACTGACAGGCTCGCTGCCGCATATAAAAAAAAACAGCCGTTGCTTTTGTAAGATTTTTTTTTTTTTACAGCGCTAGACAGCTGCTGCTGTGCTAGTCGTTTCTTGTATTCGAAGGAACGTGCAGAAGGGAAAAGCAGTCAGAATGGCGAGCGAAATTCGTCCCCGTATCATATAATAGGACCTCGGATGACGAAAAGAAAATGTGAACATGGCTGCGCCATACCACGTTAAGCATATGTGGTGCTTCTTTTTTCATAATTTGATTCTATAGCTACTGCGTTCCACATGCTGAGAACACAGGAAACATGCAGTTTGGAGAGATGTTTTAAACGAGCCTGCAGGAAACAAAGGGTGGATAAAAGAATTCCAATATGATAGAGCCCGAGATCAACAGCCTATATTTCTATAAAACGTCATACTCTCAATTTCTTACGACAGCTGCAACACTACGAGTGCTAGCAAAACTTGAAATAGATACGATTGCACCAAGAGGTTTTTTTTTTTTTTTTTTCAATGAGAAACCATGAATCAGGCTTGGAGAAACGGGCCTGCTGGCTCACAGGCCTGCTTCATTAAGGACCGTACAACCAAATTTAATGAAGTTACATCTCCCTATAAACTTAGTGTGAGACGACGTCTTCCATCCAACCCCGAATTCATCGCCAACAGCCTGACAACTACCACTGCAGGGCAAAGGCATCTCCCCTATTTCACCGATCCACCCGGTCTTGTGCTCCTTGCTGCCACGTTGTGCCAGCAGACTTTTCAATATCATCCACGGCCGCTGACTCATCAGCCCATCTAATTTTCTGTCTCCCTCCCCTAGCTTAATCGCATACTTTAGCCGCAAAATGTCAGCAACCCAGAGTAAAGAAACACACACTTGTTGGCCGTTATCCTGCCTATGCGCTACGTGCCCGGTCCATGTCCATTTCTTTTTTATTTCAACTGCGGTGTCCCTTGCCCCCTTTTGTTCCCTCATAGACTCTGCTTTCTTCCTGTCTCTTAATGTTACACGTGTAATTTCTTTGCCATCGCTCGTCACGTCAACCTGATTTTAAGTTGAACCGTCTTTGTAAGCCTCGGTGTTTGTGCTTCGTAGGTAAGTACCGGCAAGATGCAGCTGTTATATACCTTCCTCATGAGGGATAGTGGTAAACTATAATTCGTGATTGATAAACCGCAAATTAAACAGAGGCAAATCAGTTACTCTCGGAATTTTGCAGACATGAACTTATCTTTCTCTCGGGGCCCTCAATTTGTCCAATTTCGATTTCTGACAGTTGTTTTCCCAAATGCGGGCTCGCCACCTGTTCCTTCGAACATATATTGACACGTAAATAGTACATGTGGACGAAAACGACGATTGGAAAATTGAAAGGGCACCGTGTAGTGGTCCTGTAGATATTCTTATAGCAGAAAGACGTTCTTCCTGTTCAAGAAAGAGTGATATGGGTGGTTTTGATCTCAAGTATTTAAATTAGCATAATTAGTTTATGATATATATGCTATCATTCGTTAGTCACACAATTCTTATGTGGTCCCTTTTACTTATAGATTATTGATTTCTTGGACAATCTCTCAGAGCGAATGGGAGCCATACATAAAGGATATCATCATCGTCATCAGCATCATCATCTGCAGCAGCAGCACCAGCTGATTTGAACATTATGTTTCACTGCCTCAACGTGGTCTTGTGTTATGTTCGCGTTGCATCGCGACAATATGCTCTGTCTGTACTCAGTGAAAGTGCGCTCTGCATTACGTAACACGCCCAGCTGGGATGAGCGACTGTGCAGCGCGGAC